ATTCTACCATTTATTAATCATAATTAGACCGAATTTGACTGGGACCTTCAAAGTCAAGCGTGTTCGTTTTTCTAGGTCGCATGCCCCACCTGGACTTCTTCAACTAAAGTTACTTCCACTTATCAAAATCGAAACAAAACATTTAAAACCAAAAACATTTCGAAAATTAAAACATATCAAAATTCTGAAAACCCCCCCCAAAAAACAACAAAAAACCCCAAACAAAATAATACGACTCAAGAACAACCGTCACACCACGAAGACCTGTATAAAATTGTAAAAGCATGATTTTTTTTATATGCGAGCTCGATTGGCTTTTCAGTCATCACACATCCTTGATGGTGACCTTATGTTTGGTCATGGCAGCTCAACACATTTTATGTCCACACATTAACACATTTCTGGGTGGGTTTTACTGACCAATGTTGATCAAAGGCCCAAAAATGTAAATTTATAGTTTCCAAGGACACTCAAGCTTTGGAAACCACCAAACTTTGGCGGCAATTTTTTCACTTATTTTACTCTTGACACCCGGCAATCCCCACCTTCTTCATTGACAAACGTCTCGATTTTTATTCAAGATTGGTGGGTATTCTTTCACCAAGGGAGAGACGATTAATGAATAAGATTTAAGATCACACCAACAACTCAACAATAACACCCCCCCCCCTCCCAATCCCGATAAAACCCAAAACAACAACAACAACAACAACAACAACAAAACCCAAAACAACCACACCCCCAACAAAAAAACAAAACAAAACAAAACAAAACAAAACAAAAACAACAAGAACAAATTAACGAGTGCCTGATTCCACCGCGTCGTGACACATAGGGGCCTACTACTCTAGCACAAGTATCTCTGTCTGCCTGCTGGGATATTCTGTCTTCCCCTGTTCAGTCTGGACCAGACACACTGGCAAGGCAAGGCCTCGAAGCAGCCTGCCTACAAAAGGATCTAAAATTGTAGGCTATTGATTAGGGCGAAAAATATTCATTGATATGTTTTAGTTTAGTTTTAGTAGAGGTTTTACGGCGCTCGCAGCTGCATATGGTCATATGAGCGCCAGCATTGAGATTGATGTGAACGCCCACACCTCAAAGAAATGGAAAACGTCGGTGGCCTATATAGTGATTAGTCTCGCAGACTCACAGACGCGTAGTAGTGGGTTCAAATCCCACCAGGGGCCGACGTTGTGTCCATGGGAGAGGTACTTTATACACATGTTCCTCTATTCACCCACGTGGGAATGGTTACCAGCCTTGATTTTCTGAGTTACTCAGAAAGCCTAAGTGCCCGGTTATTAAAAGCGAAAGGTCTTGACAGTGTGATTGTGGTTGTGCGCTTTATGCTTACGGGGGGCACTCTCGAGAACAAATAAACAACACGACAATAAACAAACAACACCAACACAAGAAAACTATACTACAAACTCTTTTCATCCGACAAACCTCGGCTTTTTCACAACAGTCATAGAAATAAGCCCATGAGCGCTCAAAATACATGTACCATGACCTCATGTCATTGCATGTTCTGTAAAACGCTTACCAGACTTAAAGAATTAATAAGCCTCATTCATAGATCAAGTCCTCTTTTCTTTCTCAAGCGACAACAGAAACCCAGTGCCACTGCAATAGGGCATTTTCTTTCTTTCTTTTTCTCTTTCTATCTTTCTGTTGCCCTTTCATTATTTTGTCCCAAAAGGTTCCTTTGTTTGTTTGTTTGTTTGTTTGGTTGTCTGTCCATTTGTTTGGATGTTTATTTGTCTCAATAGATTTTGTCTTTCATTTATTCTTTCTTTCTTTCTACCTTTCTTTTCTTTCACACAGTCATTCATTTATTCATTTTTTGTGTTTGAAATTATTTATTTACGCATTGAGTAAAACATTTCATTTTTATTATACTTAGAGAAGTATTTATGTGTAACGTACTCCTTTATTTATAAACTTAATATCTTAATTTATTTGTCAACTAATTCATTTATTTTTAAAATGTTTAATGTCACCTCTGTCTAGCATGTCCATTTTACTTGGTGTTTTTTTTTT